GAACAATAACAGGTCATAAAATGAATTAAAATAATCCTACATTTTAATTTAGTTTAAAATAATATCACTAACATAAACAACAGAAGTAATAATTACACATTTATCTTTATTTACCTTTTCTAAGCTTCCAGTTAACGTGTTTTTAGACAAACCGAGGTGTTTACCTGGTCCTGTCTGTGGCGGGTCCTGACTGCAGAGGTACACAGAGATGTGCCTGATCACAATTATATTCCTACAGTTTCTTTATTATTATTTTAATAAAACAACACAACATGAAACTAATTACATAATGAAACTCAGGCGGTTTAGATCTTATTATAAATGTGACGTCACTGTCAGTGTGTAAAATGAAATAAATTCAGGCAGTAGGTCGGACACCTCCTCTGGTCCTCAGTACAAACAGAGACAAGATGGCGGCAGCAGCATCACTAATGCCGAACTTCGGACAGCAAATTTCTTCTAAAAACGACCTGGTTCCGAACTGGACCAGCCAGGAAGTCAGCACCGGGGTGAGTTCGTGGCGCCACGGCGCTGGATCTGGTGGACCTGYCCCGGTTCGGTTCCGGTGCAGTGAATATTTTCAGCTAACAGAGAGCCGCTGAATGAGACAGCACATCTGCAGGGAGCTAACAGCGGCTAATGTTAGCTTCTTTCTGTTACACAGTTCGAACCGAACCCGACCGGGACGAGAGCAGTCCCGGTGGGTCGTCCGGAACACGCCATGCTTCCTGGATTATTAAAAACCTGAATTAAAAAAAATCCAGGAATCTAGCTGARGGCTAACGGTTGCTAATGTTCATGCTTCCATTTTCGGACGGGATCGTTACCGACACGGTTTCCTCATAACTCAGGGTCAGGTCAATTATTTGTCCGATAATTYGCTCACTGTGTAAACTGGCATCAGACGAGAGTGATCACAGTGAGAAACGAGGCTCAGCCCGTGTTAGTGGATGGAGGCTGTCCGATAATAGACGCAGGGCGTGGTCACCTCAGGGTCTCCATCAATAACCACAGAAGAAATGTTGTTGTTGTTGTTGTTGTTTACCGTTGTTTACATGTGGCAGACCACCATCATGGCGGTGGAGTACGATGGAGGAGTGGTGATTGGAGCTGACTCGCGCACCACCACAGGGTGAGGAGAACACACACACACACACACACACACACACACAGGTGAACATGTTCCTGACTGTAGTGAACACTCAGGTAAACTCACCTGTCTGTCTGTCTGTCAGAGCTTACATCGCCAACAGAGTGACGGACAAACTGACTCGTATCCACGACCGGATTTACTGCTGCAGGTCAGTTCTGCCCAGTAAACGGCTTGTTTACTGTTTGTTTTGTAGATAAACAGCTTGTTTACAGTTTGTTTGATAGATAAACAGCTTGTTTACTGTTTGTTTTATAGATAAACAGGTTGTTTACTGTTTGTTTGATAGATAAACAGGTTGTTTACTGTTTGTTTGATAGATAAACAGGTTGTTTACTGTTTGTTTTATAGATAAACAGCTTGTTTACTGTTTGTTTGATAGATAAACAGGTTGTTTACTGTTTCTTTTATAGATAAACAGGTTGTTTACTGTTTCTTTTATAGATAAACAGCTTGTTTACTGTTTGTTTGATAGATAAACAGGTTGTTTACTGTTTGTTTT